GCGATTTCTACATGTATTTAATTAAAAATGTTAGTCTTGATGGAATTTGAAAAACGTATCCAATGTATATATAGTGTCATCAGTTTAGTGAATGTGAACTCTCTCATTTATGAACCACATTGTGTTCACTCTCATTTATGAACCACATTGTGTTCACTTTACGTTATCTTTTTTTGGATGAAATGTAAATGTATATTAACACCCAAGGAAAATTAACATATACAATGTGTCCAAAAAGTCTACAGCCCCCCATTTCATGAGAAAAGGATTGTGTTCACTTTACGTTATCTACTAATACGGATGGTGGTAAATTTATTGGGTACTTTCTTAAAACCCGGGAAAAGCCAACTTTGATGCAAAAAAGTGGGACTTTTTGCAGGGTTTCTCATATTACTCCCCCGTCCCAGAATTAACTTCGGTTTTGACTGGGCACGGAGATTAAGAAAGTGGGAAATGTGTGGTAGAGAGTTGTGCAGAGGAGAGAGAAATGTGTAAGAATGGTTGTGAACCACAAATCCTTTGCTAAAAAGGAAAGAGGAGATAAATTTGGGACGGACCAAAAAGGAAAGAATGAAGAAAATTATGGGACGGAGGGAGTACAAAATTTGGAGAGATTGATTCCAAATTGAGAAGGGTTAGTTTTTTCATTTTCGAAAAGGGCCATTCCGAGCATGTAGAATAAAGAAATGGGACCAACAAAAACTAAAATCGTGTTTTTCTTTAAAATAATGTGACGTTTCTGTTTATATTCTAATTTTTACAAAAAATATATAAAAACTCATACAGAGTAGCTTTTTAATGAACTTCCATATGATACCAATATTACATATACAAAATTTGAAGTTTTAACTGTAAGAGGGTTTTGGACCCAAAATTTTTATTTAATCAATTTAAGTGCTAAAATTAAGATCTCCTCATTAAAATAAATGAAATGTGTAAAAGAATTAGCAAAGAGATCTTAAGTTTAGCATTTCAAGTGTTTAGGAAAAATTTTGGGTCTGAAAACCTCATTTAGTTAAAATTTCAATATTGATGTCGTTTAAAAGTTTTATATAGACAATGAGGGCGTTTGGAGCACCAAAAATTGGCTGAAAAGCCTTAAAGTGTATAAAAATTGCCAAACAGCTATCAAATGGGCTATTGTGGCTGTTTTTTCTTATCAGCCGAAAAATCTAGTCTAAGCTTACTTTTTGGGCTGTTATTGATTATTTTACTGTTGCCTATTGCAAAGTCTCCTTCACCCTTAAAATACCTCTTCCGTTGCTCAAGATCCAAAGTCTACAAACAGCATATTCATCCGCTCAGCTAGCTCCTTCCAGATCAAAGATTCTTTCTCGCCTGCTCCAGTTCATGAAGGTAAACGGTGCTCTATCTTCATTTTCAATTCTTCCGAGACCCACGTCCTACTCCTACTTAGCTTCTTTCTCGCCTGTTCTTGGATGCCTATTTCTAAGCTTTGCTGAGTTGTTCAATATTATCTTTAATTGAAAGTGTTTGAGAACAAACTATAATACGAAAATTACAAAACAAGGTCTAGGACTTGTCGGTTTTTTACGATATAAAATTAGTCTGTTTTTGTAAGTCCTACGTATTGATTACCCTTTTGGTAATTTTACATTCAATCAGCCATTTCATCCAACATATTACCAAACACTTTTACTTCAATACATTCAGGCTTTTCAGACTTTTCAGCCCAAACAGCTGGTCCAGCTGCTTCCAAACGGCCCCAATATTGATGTCATAAGAAAGATCATAAAAATTACTCCCTACGTATTTAAAAGTTCGCTACATTTTCCTATTTGGGATGTATTTAAATATTGCTACATTTTCCCTCTTTGTTAAGTTTTCATCTAAAAATACCCAATTAGCCTTATTTGTTCTACTTTTAATTTTCTTTTTCTTACTTTTTTCACATTCTCTCCTACTTTTTCTACACTAAATATTACCCCTATTATTTTTCTCTTAAATATTGTAACACCGTCCCCAAAAAGTATTTACTTTTAAGTGAATAATGTATTGAACCTTGTGGAATGATTAATGAGTATGCGAAGTTGTGAATTTTTATTATTCTTATTCGCGTGAATAGTAAATTGCATGCGGGGCCCGCACCGGGAGCGGGGGGCGCCTGATATTCCCGAGACCGTATATTTTATTCATCTTGGTTAATGTAATATTTATATAGTGGTGGATAATTTATTTGGTCCAAAGAAATGATATAGAGTTGACCGGTTGATCAAAAAGGCCAAAATACAGGTACTGGTAATTTAACAGATAAAAGCCAGAAATGAATTTCGGGAACTTATAAATTAATTTTGGGGGATGTATATTCATTATAAGGGTCATAATGATTGGGAACACATAATATATTTTATTTGACCCGATAAAATAAAATATATCTAAAACAGTCCGAAAAATACAACTTTCGGGACCGGTTGTACACTTCTGGACAAAAAGGGTTGACCTCCCACATGGGTGGGGGCCAACCCACGAATTTGGCCTCATTTTTCAACACTTTGGCCGGCTGGTGGGAATGAGTAACATGGGAGGGGGTGTTGAATTGATAGAAAGAGCATCAAACAAAAATGAGATGGACCTCATCCATCCTCATTTGATCTTTGAGACAAAAGACTCTCTCCTCACCCATCTCTCCCTCATCCCTGCGGCCAACACCCTCAAGCAAGAGCCAAGAAAAGTCCCCATCTTCCTTTCTCCATTTTTGAAGAAGCTCTAACAAGAAGGAAGCTCTAGGAAAAAGTTTAAGTTCCAAAAGTGTACAAAACTTGTGGAAAGGCTAGGTAATGACTTCATTTACCTTTTTCTCCTATTTTTCTTGAATATATTATTATTTGAGAAATTATGAAGAACCCTAGGATTGTTCTACATGTTGGTAAATGTGGAATAAGGGGTTGGAAGGTGGATTTATGTCCAAAAATGGATTTAGAAGCCAAACCGACAAGTTCACCGGAAAATAACCTTTTAGAGGTTATGTGTATTGATTAAGGTTTTATGATGTTAAAACCTTGTTAGGAACTTGATTTAGAGTATCTTTGAGCTTCGCCAGAGTTTCGCCGGAGTTGGTCAAAGTTGGCCGGAGTTGGTCAAAGTTCGCCAAAGTTCAATCGGGAAACGTAGATCGCACTTAAGCTCACTTAAGGTGAGGATGACCGACTATATTGTTTATAATCTTTGGGTTAATTTCATGAGATTTCCTAAAAGAATACCCAATGTGATTTGCATGGATTATTAATGGTTAATAATGCCTAAATGTAATTACTATTGAATATAAGTATAGTTTGCATAACATACAAATTTATTGAATAAATTGTGTATGTTTATATGTTATGAATATGATGGCATGATAGTAGTATCAACCATAAATCCCATTGTGATAAGTATGCTTTTATTTCATGAGAAGAAGCCATGAAAGAATAAAAGTGATATTTTGATATTAAGGCTAAATTACATATTGAATGGAGAATTACATTGAAATGAGTAAATAACTAGTATTGAAATATTAGTTGGAATTGTAGTTGAATAATGGATCAATGGGTCCTAAGAAATTGAATTGTAAAGAATCGGTGATTATTGAGCTGGGCTCTAGACCGACGTAGATAACAGTGATTATTGAGCTGGGCTCTAGACCGTAGTAGATATCGGTGATTATTGAGCTGGGCTCTAGACCGATGTAGTTGACGGTGATTATTGAGCTGGGCTCTAGATCGTAGTAGGTAACGGTGATTATTGAGCTGGGCTCTAGACCGTAATAGATAACGGTGATTATTGAGCTGGGCTCTAGACCGTGGTAAATAACGATGAATTGACACTAAACGAACAAAGTTAATTATGATATGATAATACCCTGGTTGAGGGTCTTGGAAATTGAAACATTGATTATACTTAGTATAGTTGTCATTGTACTTGTCAAATGCTTCCAAGTACTGACCTCCCCTTCACAGGGGAGGCCACCTCACAGTTTCATGTAGGAGTTGAGCTTGCTACCGGTGCCCGTTGCTCCGGGAGGATTCAAGGAAGGAAGATGTGGTTCGTGCTTCCTCCGTTCCTGTTTTAAAAACATTTAAATTAATGCTCATGGATACTATATTCTTGAATAATCATTTGGGGGCTTGTATGCCCATGTTTGCCAAAGTGTGGCACGAACACTTATATTAAATGTTTCCGCTGTTTTGAATGAATATTTTACATTATGTTTGTTTATGGATATACTATGTGTGAATGATATCCCAGGCGCCTTGTATAGTATGAATGTGTTGGACTGCGGTTGACTATTCGTACTGTACGGCGGATTGTTGACGTGTCCGGATAGGTCCGGGGCGTGACAAATATTGTGTCATAGCCTAATGCAATGATCTTTTAAATACAGGGAGTATGATTTTTTTTTTAAAATTGAATACAAATAAAAAAATACTCCCTCTGTCCCAAATTGTTTTGCCAAGTCAACATTTTTTGGTCAACCAATACTAAAAGTCAATGCTCCCTATCGTTAATTAATTCAATTTTTAATAATTAATATTTATATATTCAGAAACTACATTACAATCTCTTTCAAGTTATAAACTCCAAATTAGAATATTATTAAGATTTGACGTTCTAATTAGCCGAATAAAATAAATCTGTTTGACCAAGAAAAGTCAAATTTGCAAATCAAATTGGGACGGAAGTAGTAAAACACTTTAAAAAGATACAACACAAAGTATCTTTTATGTCTTTACTACTTTCTTATTTCACTTTTAAACTTTCACCTTTTCACTTTTCATTTTTTAATGGGAAAATGGAAACTAATAATCCAACCTTTTAGCGGTCTTGTTTTAATAGTCCGACCTTTTCGTTATTCATGAATAATCCAACCTTTGCACCTCATCTTCATTCACTGGTCCCCTGACCGGTTGATGACCTGTTATCCCTTACCGGAGGTGCAAAGGTTGGATTATTCATGAATAACAAAAAGGTCGGACTATTAAAACAAGACCGCTAAAAGGTTCCCTTTTTTATTTCACTTTTGGATATGTTTAGCCAACCGCCTCCTCAGAGCACAGAGAGACGCAATGAGTTTTTCTCGATTGAATGATGAATGCCTTGCGTAACCAGCTCCTCCATGGTTTGATTTTCCATTGATTTATTATCCTTAATTGTACTGAATTCCCTATTGAACTTGGATCATACTGGAAATTAGCAGCGGTCAGATCGAATCTCCAGGATTTGAATCGCAACCAGCAATGTTCATCGTCACACTGGTTTTTGGGTTTCTATCCGGACGATTATCCTTGAATCTAAGAGTGGTTTGGGGCTCTCCGTCTCCCGATGCAACTCCTCGACTACTTGGCGACGACAAAGGGCCGTATTTTGGCCAGAAACCACCAACGACGTCGGGACAGTTTACTGTTCACCGTCGAACAGAGTTCTTAATCCTCCGACACGCTAATCTGTTTTTGAAGGTGATTTGGGACTCGCTAGGTCCAGAAAAATCGCAGGGCATTCTTAATCTCCCAAGCCGTGGTCCTGTTTTTTTTTATCTAAGAACTGCAGCAATGGCGAAGAGGAATCAAGGTTACGGCTTCCAGGTTTGAGGCTTTAGACAATCTCGATGTTGAATTCCGTCCCAGTACTATCCGCTGGTAAGTTGAAACGGACGGGTAAATCTTCTACTGAGCCGGACAAATCTGATGCTTCTACTGAACCGACTGGCCTTGCAAGAGCTGGGGGAAATGCTTTATGTACACAGCATGACAGCAGTGTACACAACACTCTACACAGCACAAAAAGCCCCCACCTCCTTATTTTTCACCCTATTAACCCCTCCCCTCCCTCCTTCCTTTCTTTTCCTTTTTTGCTCTCCTTCCCTGCGCCCAACTTCCTTCTCCCTCTTCCTCTTTTTCTTTTCTCTCCCTCCTTGCGCCCAACATCTCCAGCCTTTTTCTTCTCCCTCGTTATCGATCTTCATTGCTTTCCTCTTTATTTTTCCCTCCTTTCTTTTTATTTCCTCTCTTTATCTCCCTTTCTCCATCTTTTTTCTTCTCTTTTCTTGTTTTCTTCATTTCAAAAGCTCTCACTTTTTTTGCAGATCTAAATCCACTCAGAAAAATAGGAGGAGACACAACTTGAGTCTACTTTGCTCTCTCAAATATTATTCATGAGGTAATACTTTATTTCAAATTTTTTGTGCATTTAGGGTATATATGTTCCCTTTTTAATTTTAAATATCACATATGTTATGATATGTTGTTATGATGTTGAAACTAGTACTTATTACACTGTTATACTAAATACATTTGTACATTTAGGGTATATATGTTCCCGTTTTAATTGTCTGTTAAATCGATTTTCACAGACAAAATATAAAGATTTGTCTGTATCGCAGACATTTTAGATCGTAATTTTTCATAGTGTCTGTGATACAGGCATTTGTTTTTATTTTTGTCTGTATGAAAATCTATTTTCTTCATAAATCGCCACTCAATTTGTCTGTGTAGCCGGTCAAGTTGTCTGTGTACAGACAATTATGTGAGTGCATCTTGTAAAGTACCAATAGCTTGTGTATGTCTTCTCTATGACTTCTTTATTATAAAGTATCTGTGATACAGACGTTTTTTCTAGATCGTAATTTTTCATAGTGTCTGTGTTACAGACATTTGTTTTTATTTTTGTCTGTATGAAAATCTATTTTCTTCATAAATCGCCACTTAATTTGCCTGTGTAGCCGGTCAAATTGTCTGTGTACAGACAATTATGTGAGTTTATCTTGTAAAGTACCAGTAGCTTATGTATGTTTTCTCTATGACTTGTTTATTGATGGGGTTTGAATATTACGTAGTACTTGTTTATTTTCAAGTTAATATATCATTTAAATTTAATATATTTTAACTAACAGGAGCTTTAACCATGTGCCTGCTTCAGGGACATCTTCTACCTCTTCGTGACCAATACTAGTATCTTGAAGGCATGTGATTGAAAACTATGTCTCTTTTTCAATCGGGAACAAGACAGGTGATATTTCAAATCGTGGCATGAAATGGATTCAGAAGGTCAAGAATGAGAGATTTAAAGCAAATGATAATTACACACTTTATTTTTGTAATTAGTTATGTTGCACAATTAATTATCTTGTATTAAAATTATAGTGTATTTAAACTTTCTTTTTTTATCACAACCAAATATAGTTTGTTTCTAAGTGTATTTGTAAAGATAAGCTTTAACCAATTGTTTGTATCCAAATAATTTTTAAACAAGCTTGTTTTGTCTGTATGTAGACAATTTCAATCAAGTTTTTATTTGTAAGTGCAGTGTCTGTATTTGTTATAAAGACTCGTGAAGTTGTCTATCTGTCTGTAATTGATGATTAATTGTTTTTTATTTGTTTTGAGTTGTTTATATTTGTTTTGACTGTATGTAATTTGTGATGTTTATTTTTGAGATGTAATTAGTATTACGAGACAGACATTAAGTGTACACATACAGACAATAAATATACACATACATACATTACTTTATTGTGAATTACCATTTTGGCATATGTTTCATTAAAAATGACAGACAATACGTATAACTAGATAGACAATAGACAACCCACAAATTACATACAACTCACAATGAAATGACAAACAACTAAATATGAGTTGCAGACAACTTCCCGACTCTTACAGACACCTCGCAATAATATGACAGACAAGTCATTACAGACAACTCAAACAAATACAGACAACTAATAAACAAATGACAAACAATTAAATATCAAAACAAATACAGACAACTAATTACAAAAATAAAGTGTGTAATTATCATTTGCTTTAAATCTCTCATTCTTGACCTTCTGAATCCATTTCATGCCACGATTTGAAATATCACCTGTCTTGCTCCTGATTGAAAAAGAGACATTGTTTTCAATCACATGCCTTCAAGATACTAGTATTGGTCACGAAGAGGTAGAAGATGTCCCTGAAGCAGTCACATGGTTAAAGCTCCTGTTAGTTAAAATATATTAAATTTAAATGATATATTAACTTGACAATAAACAAGTACTACGTAATATTCAAACCCCATCAATAAACAAGTCATAGAGAAAACATACATAAACTAACTTTACAAGATAAACTCACATAATTGTCTGTACACAGACAATTTGATCGGCTACACAGGCAAATTGAGTGGCGATTTATGAAGAAAATCGATTTTTTACAGACAAGAAAAAATGTCTGTATCACAGATACTTTATAATAAAGAAGTCATAGAGAAGACATACACAAGCTATTGGTACTTTACAAGATGCACTCACATAATTGTCTGTACACAGACAACTTGACCGGCTACACAGACAAATTGAGTGGCGATTTATGAAGAAAATAGATTTTCATACAGGCAAAAATAAAAACAAATGTCTGTATCACAGACACTATGAAAAATTACGATCTAAAATGTCTGCGATACAGACAAATCTTTATATTTTGTCTGTGAAAATCGATTTAACAGACAATTAAAAAGGGAACATATATACCCTAAATGCACAAATGTATTTAGTATAACAGTGTAATAAGTACTAGTTTCAACATCATAACAACATATCATAACATATGTGATATTTAAAATTAAAAAGGGAACATATATACCCTAAATGCACAAAAAAATTGAAATAAAGTATTACCTCATGAATAATATTTGAGAGAGCAAAGTAGACTCAAGTTGTGTCTCCTCCTATTTTTCTGAGTGGATTTAGATCTGCAAAAAAAGTGAGAGCTTTTGAAATGAAGAAAACAAGAAAAGAGAAGAAAAAAGATGGAGAAAGGGAGATAAAGAGAGGAAATAAAAAGAAAGGAGGGAAAAATGAAGAGGAAAGCAATGAAGATCGATAACGAGGGAGAAGAAAAAGGCTGGAGATGTTGGGCGCAGGGAGGGAGAGAAGAAAAGGAAAAGAGGAAGAGGGAGATGGAAGTTGGGCACAAGGAAGGAGAGGAAAAAAGGAAAAGAAAAGGACGGAGGGGAGGGGTTAATAGGGTGGAAAAGAAAGGGGTAGGGCTTTTTGTGTTGTGTAGAGTGTTGTGTACACTGCTGTGTACATAAAGCATTTCCCAAGAGCTGGAAACACTGATGGCAACATCACAAATGAGGAAGGTGGGAAACTCGAGGCTCAAGGACATGGCCACCTCCAACACAAGGATTAATTTAGGATGTTTTCTTTTGGACTGTTTTCAGTCCCAGACCAGACCAGACTTCCGTAGTTATAAAATACACAGAAACCAGACGTTTACCAGACCAGACTAGACCAGTTCAGACCAGACCAGACCAGACTTAAACAAACCAGACCAGACCAGAACAGACTTAAGCAGACTAGACCAGATCAGACCAGACCATCAAATTTCAGTCCAAAAGAAAACATCCTTAATTGAGGACTATTCCTGGACTGTATTATGTGTAAATTTTATATGGAGTACGTTGTTTTTGTTGCACTATGTTGCAATTGCATTGCATGTCTTATTTTTTGTTGCACCGTGTTGTATTTTGTTGCATCGTGTTGCGTTTTGTAGCATCATGTTGCGTTTGTTGTATCATGTTGCTTATTATTTTTTATTTTTTTATTCTAATTTTTGCTTGCTATTTATATTTGTTAATGATTTGAAATAAAACATCATACTTCGTATATAGTTAACATATAAAAACGTGTTTTTTACAAGAATATTATCTAAAATAAAACTTATTTTACATAAATATGACTATTCATTACAAAAACGTAGTGTTGTGGTAACTTAACTTCAAAACTTAAACATGAATTACGATGATTTCATTACTATTCTAGTAACTTATTCATATTTTTGTAAACCATCTCTATTTTGATCATATTTATGTAATTATTTCTATAAAAACACCTAAAATGATAAATTTGGATTTATGAATAAAAAAAAGAAACATGAAGAAACAATAAATAAAACAAAAATAATTAAAATTATCAACAAAGAGAAACACAAAAAAACAATATGAAACAAAAGTAACAATTAAATGATAAAAAGTTTTATTGTGTTTTGGGTTTTTATACTTTACATGTTTTTTAATTTACTCTAGTTTTCTGATTTTTATAAATTCAAGGAATCTCATATCTATTTTTTTACAATAATTTTGATTTTTTGTATACTTTCAAACTTTTATATTAATTTTAGTTTTTTGTAATTTTTTTACAAACTTTTATCTTCTTTTTAATTTTTATATTGTATTTCTGAGAGGTTTAAAAATAATCGGTTTTCACTTTTTTTAAAAAAGTTTCTGATAATTCATAGGAATTATATTTTTTATTTTGTAGTTGTACTTCATACTTTTACTAAAATAAAACTTGTTTACAAAAATATGACAATTAGTTACTACAATATAGTTTCATACTAGTAGTAACTTAACTATAAAAATTGAACATAAGTTGCTATGATTCCATTACTATTATATTTGTAAATAACCTTCATTTTATTCATAAATATGTAAATATTTCTTTCTATTTTTTTTAAGAATATTTTTTTTAACTTTTTGACTATTTTAAAAAGTTTTTATTTTAAAAAAAATATTTTTATTTTATTTTATTTCTTTTAAAAAATATTTCATTTTATTTTTTGTTATAATTTATGCTTTCAAGATTTCATGCATTTTAGTTGTTAAAAGTTTTTTTTCCTTTTGTTTTAAAAGATTTATTTTCTAGTAGTTTACATTTTCATAGTTGAATAATTTAGAGATAAGACTTTTGCTTGCCAACGTGGCAAGACTATACGTTCAAAAAAAACGTGGAAAGGCTACATGAGTGATCAAGTGTTTGGCAACCTGATCGCGCCGGCGCTTCCGATGAAGAGAGATGCGTATGACCGGATAAGGTCTATTTATGAAAGGAAACTTTCGCTTGGTCTATTTTTAAAAAGAATTTTCCAACATGATAAAAGTGATATTCCTTTAAATTTTTAGCCCATTTGTAATATTTTCCCAATTTTTTATATTTTCGTTGGCCCCACCAAATACTACTGGATTCTTCCATAAGTTCTTCCATAATGGCCTTTCCCGTGTTTTAGAATTTCTTTGAATTTAGGGAAAATTGTCAAATAGGTTCTCCAACTTTCATAAAAAAGTCAATTAAGTCCTTCTATAAGACACTCTGTCCGGTCGTCGCGATTTGGGGTGGTTCTCGGTGGAATTTTTTGATGAAATTTTTTGAGCATCTTATTCGTCGAGTCTAATTTACTCATATCAAATTTCAGCTAAAATTTTAATCGGGAGCACATTCAAATTAATTCAAGAACGCAAAAATGCGCAGTTATCTTCAATAATTAATTTGAATGTGTTCTCGATTGAATTTTTAGCTGAAATTTGTTATGCGTAAACTAGATTTGCTGAATAAGATGCTCAAAAAATTTCATCAAAAAATTCCACCGGGAACTGCCCCAAATCTTGACGGCCGGACAGAACCTCCTATAGAAGGACCTAATTGACTTTTTTATGAAAGTTCGAGGACATATTTGACAGTTTTCCCTTGAATTTATTATTTATGTTTTTGAAATTGATGGATTGTTTGGAGATTTAGATTATGGCCTGGATAAACTTTGATGCACTTAAGGATTTAAGTTTTTAAATTTGATGCTAAACTTTTGTTTCTTTTTACAAAAAGTCTTGGTGTACACCCTGGGTTACACCCTGGGGTACACCATATAAATACCTATAATTTTACAGAGTAGTTTACCCCTCCTCACCCATGTGCCTTCACAGTCAGCCCCCTCTTCTCTCCTTGACTTCTGTATTACGAGAGTTCCCATTCTCCCGACATTCCTCCCTTTTTTTCTTTTTTAATTCAATTGATGGTTTTCTCTCTTTTTTATCTTAGATGGAGGGCCGGCAGGATATATTACTGCGAACCAAAGCGGAGTTGCAATGAAGGACACACCAGTGAACAAAACAGGAACTGCAGCCGGAAATGGAGGTGCGGCCGGAACCGTGGTATGAACGATGTAGATGTGAACAACGACAGAGGTGCGACTAAGAGCACACTTGTGAACGGAGAAGGAGCTGCAGCCAAAAACGGAGGTACGGCGGAAAACAGAGATATAATTGAAAAAATGAACAGATAAGTGATTGTGTGTGTGTTCAAATGGCAGTGTTTGTGTGGTAAGATGGTTTGGCTTAATGTTGTCTGCGAGTTGTTATGTAAGAGTAGCGAAGTGTCTGTGAGGTTGTTGTGTGAGTTATAACAAAAGTCGAAGCTTGGCCGGGGAAGTAAACAACACAGTGTTGGTGTGCACAGACGAATGAAAGTTTTCAA